GTTGCAGTATTGTCCCGATAAGGAAGGGGTGCGCGATGCCTCCAAGGGTCACTGCCCTTGACCCCAATGTTTAACACATACCTTTTTTCTTCCCTCCCTGAGGAAGTTTTTTTTCCATGACCTATATATATATAATATATATTATATATATATTTATACATATTGTTTTTATTTTGTGTTCTGTGCCCTGTTCCTGTGAGAGAATGAGAGAGAGAGACAGTTTTTTTTACCACCAGTCATGGTCAAGGATGACCATGTGGTAGGTGGCCAGGAAAAATGTAGACTGCAAGTCTACATGCCTAGTTCCCATAGCTTTCCGCAGAGGGCAAGCCTGGTGGGCTTGCCACTTGAAACAGCATCACCCTGCCTCTCTCTCACTCGGCACCAATACTTCACACAGTCACAAGGTCTACTCCCCCTCTCCCTTGCATGGGCATGGCCCTCCCGGGCCATGGGCACTTAAAACATTGCCTGTGTACCCATGATTATCACAAATAAAATAAGAAGAGCTCTCAGAACCCCTTATCATTCATCCACAGCCTGGGAAGCAACAGACACAATCAACTTTAGAAAACATAATAGCTAAGAAATGAACTCCGTTATTCATGGTCCAATTTCTTTAATTTTTGGTGTACGTTAAGAAGCATTTTTCCATCATACATTGCCCAAGTTTCAATAAGATAGTCCAACAAACAACTGAGATCCAATTCCCTAGATTAAGAGCAAGAGCCCCTCACCAGCTTCAAGGAACCTCCCTTGAGGCCCGCTTGCCTCTGGAAATTTCGCTCGTGTCTGGAAGCAAAAGATCAACCGAGCAACTACTCATATCTGGAAAAACTTGCACATGGATGCACTTGTAAGTACAGGTTCCACTGTATTGATTTTTTCTAAAAAAGTAACTGAAATTACATCGTCTACATGTACTAATTCCAAAAAGGGTAGTAACCCTTTTTTCCTGTATAATTTTCTAAAAGTAAAAAGAGCCCTGCCTTGGGGAGGAGAATTTAGTGTGTAAAAAAATTCCGAAATAGGGAAAAAAGAAAAATTTTATGAAAAAGTTTTCTTAATGTTTTTATCCCAAGGAAGGGGTTCCAACATGGGGACCAAAACATTCCTTTTCATCAAAGCCCCCTTTAATTTTAAAAAAAAAATAAAAATAGTGACAGTTTGTTCAAAATTTTTTACGTTAAAAATTTGCACACAATTTTTAAATACAGGGGACCCCCGCCCTAACGATGGGATGCCCCTCGATTTTTTTTTGCATAACGATTTCTTTTACGGAAAATTTTTTCCCCCATTTCCGATTAAAAAAACCCCCATACCGATTTTCGTTTCCCAGGGCGCGTCCCCAAAGTGCCCTCAGCCCGCCTCACATGTGCCGCCCGTCCCTTTTTTACCCGCCAGCCCCGCGGTAACATCCAAGGGATACACTCGGAAAATTTTTTTTTTTTATTACAGTATTTTCGGTGCGTTTCTGGGGAAAAAAGTGAAAATGGGCCCCCAAGAAAGTTTAGTTTCCAAAACCCCACACCCAAAAGGGTTTTTGAATTCCCTTATAGAGATGAAAAAGGATAATTGATAAGTTTTAAAAAAGTGGAGTGCGTTTTTTTGGGGGCCGACCCTAGTCAAGCTGTTACAAAAAAACCCCCAACCAAAACCCAAATCGCTCCCCAAATTTGGGGCACCAAAAAAAGAAAAACCCGGAAGTGTTTTTCCCAAAAGGGTTTTAACGGTGTTTTCGAAAAAAAAGATCGAAATTTTTGATGGAAGATTTTTTGGGGAAAAACTCTTATTGGTGGGAAATAAATGAAAAAACGGGTTTGAGGAGTTAGCGTCTCTCTGCGATCATATTTTTGAAAGGGGTGGGGAAGTTGCATGACTTTTTTTAATTTAAAAAAAAAGGGCCTGCAAACTAGTGATGATGTGGGGGGAAATTTAAAGGCCCAGAAAAGGGTTTGGTTTTGGGAGGGGATTTAAAAAGGGCTTTAGGGGTTTCCATAGTGTGAAAACCCCCAGGGGGGGTCCCAGTTCGGACCACAAAGCGGCTAAAAAAATATGTGAAAGGGAATTAAAGGAAAGAAATTTGAAATGAAGGGACTAAAACCCTGAAAAAGTTTTTAAATTTGTGATTAAAACCAGGCCTTTTTGGGAAAGGGGAAAATTTCCCAAAGCAGGCCCCTACTTTACTCAGGGGGAAAAAGGAAACCCCCGGGGACATACCCTTTTGGAAAAGACAGGGCTCTTCTTTGTTGAGGTGTCCCAAAGGGCTATGGTGTTTGAAAGTGAACCCTTTATTAGTGTTCACTCTGAAACTCCCAGAGCTTTTCAGGAAAAAAGAATGTCCCAAGGAAAAATTTGTGTGTGTTGTGGAGGGCAAACGTAAGGCAGGGGTTTCACTAGGGAATTTTTTCTAAAAAGGGTTTAAACCCCATGCTTTTGCCCCCCTTTGTAAAAAAATTACCTAACTGAAAAAAAAATTAGAATTTTAAGTCCCTTTTCCGGGGGTTTTTAGAAAATCCCCCTGGTCACCCTCAGACGTGTCAGAGCGACTTTAGGGGGGACATGGCTTCATTAAGGTAAAGTTTTTGCCCCCTAATACCACCTCTCCGGCACCCCTGGACCCAGCAGGTTTTTTCCCAACTTAAAGAAACTGTACACAAAAGCTCTGTTTGAAAGGTCTTTGTAATGCCCTCAGAAACTAAACCCTGTTTAAAGAGGTTTTGGAGAGACCCATTTTAAACCCTAAATTGTGTAAACCCTTTTATAGGAAAGCTTGGGGGGGAAAAAGTGACAAAGGGGGGGGGGGCCCTTAAACTTGTTTGGAAAAAAAACTGTGGCCGGGAAGGGTGTAGGGGGAAAAAGGGAAATTTTAAAGGGTTTTTTGAGGCAAACCCCTGGGGGAATCCTGTGCCAATTTGGGGAAAATCCATTGTGGTTTGGGGAAAAAGCCCTTTGGGGGTTTTGGGGGTTTTAGTGGGGAGGATGGGGGAAGAGTTGGTGGAGGGGGACAATGAAGAACTAAACCCCTGATGGCTGCTAGATCAACTTTAACGCAAGGGGGCCCCCCACCCGAGGGGGAAAATTTTTCGGGGGGGGGGGAGAGAGAAATTGAAGAAGTTGCCCACTTCAAAGATTAGGAAATCTGTGCTAAGTGGTTTAAGTTTCAAAACCTTTTAGGGTGGAAAAAACACCCCCCCACAGCTATTGCCAAAAACCGTGTGGTGATTATTACACTGAAAAATTTTTGTGAAAAACTTTAGGGAAGTCATAAAAGGAACCCAGAGGGACAGGCCACTATGGACAGATATTTTTTGTGCGAAAAAAGTCCCCGTGACTTTGAAATGGCCCCAGTGGCAATTTAAAAAAAAGAGGGAAGTAACCCCCGAAAAGGACTTACAACCCCAAATCCTAATGGGAAAGGGGGTTCCCCCTTTTAAACAATAAGAAAGGGTATTGCTCTCCCCCCCTCCCTCCATCCCAAAATCACCAAAATCTTCAATAAAAGTAAGTGTCATTTTTAAATTTTGGGATGCCCTTTTTTAGTTTGTGGGTATTAAAAATTAAAAATTTCTTGGGGAAAAAAAAAATTTTTTTTATACTTTGGGCGTCTTGCACGGGTTTAATTTTTTTTCCCTTATTTCTTATTAAAAAAAAACCCCCAAACCATTATTTTGTCATTAAACAAAAAAACCCCCCCTTCCCCCCTTAAAATTTAATGGGGGATTTTATAAGTATTTGTTTGACCCCAAACCCCCCTTTTTGGTTACTGTATTTTTGGGAAAAAGGCACCCAAAAAGCATAAAATGGCCACCCAAAATTTTTGGGGGGGCCCCCGGATTTGGGATTCCTTTAAAAACCCCAACTAAAAAAAGGCCCCCCTCACCACCCCTTTTTGGAAAGGGTTAAGCCCAAAAAATAAACCCCCTTTAAAAAATTAAAATTTTTTATTTTTTAAACAAAATTTTTTTACAAAATTTATAAAAAAAATTTAAAAAGGTTTTTTTTTAAAATTTTTTTAAAAAAAAGGGGAAAAGAATTTTTTTTTATCTTAATTAAAAAGGTAGATAATGAAGCCCCTTTTAATTCATCTGCTCCACTGCCACCAAACACTAACACAAACATGAATATCTGCTAGATAAACGCACACATAAGAAGCATACTGCAATCCTTTATTGGGAACATTTTGCACATACAGTGGTCTTTATCAAGTCACAAAGGAATCTGTTTGTTTATAAATCTGTTGTTTGTAGATAGTAATGGTCATATGTTTACAGTTACAAATCATTCGAAAGTAATCTAGTTAAGTTTTAGGTTATTATGAATGAAGTTCCTAGGACAGAGTCCCATCAACATTAGATATTTACTGCAACATATCTATACCCATAACACAGGAAACACACTTCTCTTTTGTGGAAATTGTTTGTTATCAACATATCAGCCATAATATCACAATAATAATAATAATAATAATAATAATAATAATAATAATAATAATAATAATAATAATAATAATAATAATAATAAAATAAGAATAAGAATAATAAAATAATAATAAAAATAACGACTTGACAGCAGTGGGTCGCTGGTCACAGCCTCACCCACCACTAATGCTCACCAAGATCATTCCACTATCTTTCATCATTTAACTTAACCCAATATAACCTAGAATAATACATTTTGACAGAGGAAGAGATAAAAGACAGTGGGTAGTAGCAAGTGGGGTCAGTGTTATTGACAGTGAGGCAGCAACCACTAATCAGCGACCCAGCAACCCCTGTAGCCAAGTTGCTGTTCAAGGCGCTGTCTGGAATTCAGTTTAACAGTACCGAAGCACTGAAACCACCACTTACCAATAAACCAAAGCCTACCCTTATTCCTGACCTTGAGCACATAAGGTGCAAGGTGATTTTCAGAGATTCTAGGGGCAAAAAAGGATGCCTTGTATGCTGGAAAATGCAATATTCTTAATTCTGAACCCAAGATAAATAATCATACATCACCTTCATTGTCAGACAAGCATTCCACTGCTTGACCAGATAATCAGCACGAATATCCTTCCACGTGATGAAGTTGTGAAAAGTTTCACCAGTTCGTCTGTCCCACGTGATGAAAGTCGCTCTTTGTGTGCTCAGGCCAAAACAACGAATGTTCTCAGGGTTTAGTCCAGCATCTAAACACAAGAAAAGTTCCTTATCCTACACAGCACATACAAATTTTTGCCTTAATAGTGTACATGTAGTAAATACAGTACATACAGTATGTACACTAATGTGTGACAATTTTTATCATTAATGCAGCAGAAACTACATCTTTTGAAAACTGGCCTAGTTATTAATAATAATGGAGGGAGAGAGTATGGAGGAGGTGAATGTATTCAGATATTTGGGAGTGGACGTGTCAGCGGATGGGTCTATGAAAGATGAGGTGAATCATAGAATTGATGAGGGGAAAAAGAGTGAGTGGTGCACTTAGGAGTCTGTGGAGACAAAGAACTTTGTCCTTGGAGGCAAAGAGGGGAATGTATGAGAGTATAGTTTTACCAACGCTCTTATATGGGTGTGAAGCATGGGTGATGAATGTTGCAGCGAGGAGAAGACTGGAGGCAGTGGAGATGTCATGTCTGAGGGCAATGTGTGGTGTGAATATAATGCAGAGAATTCGTAGTTGGAAGTTAGGAGGAGGTGCGGGATTACCAAAACTGTTGTCCAGAGGGCTGAGGAAGGGTTGTTGAGGTGGTTCGGACATGTAGAGAGAATGGAGCGAAACAGAATGACTTCAAGAGTGTATCAGTCTGTAGTGGAAGGAAGGCGGGGTAGGGGTCGGCCTAGGAAAGGTTGGAGAGAGGGGGTAAAGGAGGTTTTGTGTGTGAGGGGCTTGGACTTCCAGCAGGCATGCGTGAGCGTGTTTGATAGGAGTGAATGGAGACAAATTGTTTTTAATACTTGACGTGCTGTTGGAAGTGTGAGCAAAGTAACATTTATGAAGGGGTTCAGGGAAACCGGCAGGCAGGACTTGAGTCCTGGAGATGGGAAGTACAGTGCCTGCACTCTGAAGGAGGGGTGTTAATGTTGCAGTTTAAAAACTGTAGTGTAAAGCACCCTTCTGGTAAGACAGTGATGGAGTGAATGATGGTGAAAGTTTTTCTTTTTCGGGCCACCCTGCCTTGGTGGGAATCGGCCAGTGTGATAATAAAAAAAAATAATAAATAATAATAATAATAATAATAATAATAATAATAATAATAATAATATCTTTATTTACTACAAGAACATGTACATGGTATACAGTCCTAGCTGACAACAGTGACATACTACTACATAGAAAGCCCCTTGTTATGCTCCGCATGTCGGGCAAATTAGGTCAGTGTCCCAGGATGCGACCCACACCAGTCGACTAACACCCAGGTACCCATTTTACTGATGGGGAACATAGACAACAGGTGGAAAGAAACACGCCCAATGTTTCTACTCTGGCTGGGAATCGAACCCAGACCCTCACTGTGTGAAGCGAGAGCGTTAACCACCAGGCCACCAGTGATAAAATGGTTTAAAACTGACAAGTTGAAGATTGAGACACTTATGCAATATGTGGTAATCTTTACTGAAGAAACATTTTGCCACACAGTGGCTTCATCAGTCCTGAGAAGTTAAAGGCTTAATTTCTCAGGTGCTCTGTTTCAAAACTAACTATTCCTTTATCCTGGAGATAACTTACTGGATATAGCATCATTTATGACCTTGAGAAATTTCTCCCATAATTCTTCTGGGTCCATCTCTACACGTTCTGGGGTTGGGTACAGGAGAGTCACCTGAAAATTATTTGTATTAACCTTCAATAAGATTCAAATTAAAGAGCAACTGGCACCACATCACATACAGTACCCTCAAGTAAACATACAGTTTTGTAAATTAAACTATGGAGTTACTGCATAAGGAAAACTAACTGATAGTTCATAAAAGTACAGGACATCAATTAGCTAATAAAAAGTAGAATGGCACAAGCCAATAAGAGGAAATAAAGACACAGGGACAAGATTTCTTGCTGCAAGTGTTTATTTCCTCTAGCTTGTAAAAGATGATAAACCTGCTTGAAAATGTACACCAGCATTCCAGAAGTCCAAACTGAACTTCTATACCTGGTTTCTATATACAGTAAGAAAGCATATGTTAAAACTGAGAAGCCTACACCAATAATCTAATACATAGGGATGCATGAGATAAGAAAGACTATCACTAACATTAACCTTCAACTATACAGTGGATCAGCCTTACGATCAGCTCCCAACTCGACCAATTATGTAAGTGTATTTTTGTAAGTGCTTTTGTACGTGTATTTTTGGGGGTCTGAAATGGAGTAATCTAATTCACAATGTTCCTTATGGGAACAAATTCGGTCTACAACGGCACACAAACAGACCTCTGGAATGAAATAATATTGTGATAGTATTAGTTAACAACAAAAATACATAAACATAAACTAGTAAATAATTATTATACATAAAACATATCAAAACAAAAACCTTAATAGGCTTTTTAATACAGTATTCAGGCACATATGATTTACATAAGGGCTACATTTAGATGACATGAAATAACAATTTTATTACCTTCTCTTCTGCCTTGCCAAGTACACGAACATTTGTATCATAGATGAAACAGCGAAGTGTTGTAGTTCCAAGATCAAGACTGGCAATATAGCATGCCTCATGTCCCGGGGACGGATCTGGGGTCTGGTTACTCAGCTCTGATGCACCCATGATGAGCTTGTCATCCCTTAACAATCACTATACAACTGAAACATCAAAAAAAGAGATGAGTATATACAGCATATTTTATTCAAGGAAAATGATAATCCAAAGAAGAGTATATACAACAAAGTAGACAATACAAAACAATAGCAAAACCTTGTTTAATAGACTAATAAGTGAGGAAGGGGTGTCCAGTAAAACCAATTATCGTTAAATTCAAATGCCAAGTTTTTTCTATGACTAACATTCAGGATTAAGGTATGGGCATTAAGGGCTGCAGCCCAGGGGCCTCCACTGGAGGGCCTCCAGAGATTAAATGAAAAGTGTTCACAGTTACTCCTGTAAGTTTATAATTATAGTACGTATATTATTACATATACAGTAGGATCCCACTTTACGGCGTTTCGCCTTACGGTGTTCCAATAATACGGACATTTCAAATTATGACCAAAACTTGCTATACGGCTCCCCCACCTGACTTTCTAATATGATCACCGTACCCCACCCGGTGTGTTCACATTCTCCATGAACACGACTCTCCATCATGTCTGGAAACTTTCCAAAATTTCAAATGTTTTAAAGTTATTTCATATTTTATATATACAGTGGAACCCCAGTTTTAGTATGCCCCAGTTTTCATAGGATTCAGTTTTCAATGACTTTTTTCGTCCAAATTTTGTCCCAGTTTTCGTACATCCGCTTGGTTTTCGTAGAGTTGAAAATGGTCCGTACCAAACGCATCCTTATGACTCGGCCGCTCAAGCGCACACACAAAGCATCCCATGTGTTCGTGACTAAGTCTGCCTTTGTTACTCATTGAGTGAGCATCACCCTGCACCTTCATCCATTGTTTTTTGTGCTTGTTTATTGAGTGTTACTGCTAAATAATTGAGTGTTACTGCTAAATAAGCCACCATGGGGCTAAAGAAAGTCCCGAGTGCCAGCCCTTTGATAAAGAAGGCAAGACAACCCTATGTCTATTGTGAAATCTATAGTGTTTCTCTGGAAGTCCATGGGGTTGGATGTGAGTGGCCAGGATGTGGAAGAGTTGGTGGATGACCACAGGGAAGAGCTAACCACTGAAGAGCTGCAAGACCTTCAACTGGAACAACAAACTGCAGCTGAGGAATTTGCTTTCTTCAGTGATTAAGGGCATGTGTGCAAAGTGGAGTGAGTTGCAAAGTTTTGTGGAGAAATATCACCCTAACAAAGCTGTTGCAAGCCATGTCTGTAACATGTTCAATGACAATGCCTTATCCCATTTTAGGAAAATCTTAAAGAGACACCAGAAACAGACCTCTCTGGATAGATTTTTTTTGCACAACAGGAGTACAGTGACTCTCAAGCTGGTCTTAGTGCCAGTAAAAGACAAAGAAGGTAAGGAACTCCGGATAGGGCCTTGATACCTGAAGTCCTTATAGAAGGGGATTCCCCTTCCAAACAATAACCTCTCCTCCTCCCTCTCCCCTCCTCATTGTCTTCCATATGCCAACAAGAGTCTTCAGTAAAGGTAAAAGTAATGCTAAATGTTCATTTATCCATTTCATTAGTCATTTATATTTATTTCTCATTGTTTTCTGTATGTAAAACTATATTCTCTATGAAAAATTTTTTTGTTAATATTTTTGGGTGTTTGTAACAGATTAATTGGATTTACATTATTTCTTATGGGAAATATTGCTTCAGTTTTCGTACGATTCGGTTTTTGTCAGACTTTTTAGAATGGATTAATCATGAAAACTGAGGTTCCACTGTACTCTGATATTATACTTGTGTACCTGTACCTAAATAAACTTACACACAGTGCTGGAATGCAGGTACGAGTTAAAATTACTAAGTGTGTCTTATTACTCTTGAAAATGCCATATTAATAATGATAATAATAATAATAACAATAATAATCACTCTGAAATGCACTAAATCTCATATGTTAATGTATAGACATTTTGCTTTATCCATCTATGATATTTTTTTTCAAAATTATATAATAAATATGCTATGTAACATATGAACATGATAAGAACACCCACACTGTTTTTTAACCCTTTGACTGTTTCAGTCGTATATATACGTCTTACGAGGTACCGTGTTTGACGTATATATGTATACTCATAAATTCTAGTGGCTTCAAATCAAGCAGGAGAAAGCTGGTAGGCCCACATGTGAGAGAATGGGTCTGTGTGGTCAGTGTGCACCATATAAAAAAAATCCTGGAGCACGCAGTGCATAATGAGAAAAAAAACTCCGACTGTTTTTTTTAATTAAAATGCTGACTTTGTGGTCTATTTTTGCATAGTATTTATGGTTGCATTCTCGTTTTCTTGGTCTCATTTGATAGAATGGAAAACATATTATAGAAATAGAGGTGATTTTGATTGATTTTACTATAAAAAGAACCTGGAAATGGAGCTCAAAGTAGGGGAAATGTTTGATTATTGCCGATGCTCAAAAGCAAACAAATGATGTCATTGTCCAATAAATGTCCAACTAGCCATTCTAATATGCAGTCATGAATGGGTTGACATTATTTGTACAATTATTACAGTATTGCAGTAGTCTGCATAACAGTAAATCTTCTATTTTTTGTTTGAATAAAAATTCAAAATAGAAAGCAAGAGTAATATCAGAGGGGCCCAGAGACATGACTGATGAACAAAGAAAATGTTATTTTAGAGCCAGGAATGCCTGCATTGTTCATTCTGGACCTTATTTTGAAATTGTCATATTTTTTTAATTTTCGTGAAATTGGCCAAATTGCAAATTTCTGACTACGTTATTGGGTAGTTGAAATCGGTAAATGGTCAGTTTCTTGTACTCAATCAATAGAAAAAATGGAGTTCTAAAGGAATAGCTATGAGTTTCGTCGACTGGAACAATGAAATTAGCCGAAAATAGGGCTCAAAGTGGGCGAAATCGCCAATTTGTAAATATCGCTGAGGTCGCTAACTTCGCGAGAGCGTAATTCCGTCAGTTTTCCATCAAATTTCATTTTTTTGGTGTCATTACAATCGGGAAAAGATTCTCTATCATTTCATAAGAAAAAATAATTTTTTTTTTAAATTTTGCGACACCAGGAGACACCTCAGGATTGGGGGTTGCGACAGTCAAAGGGTTAATGCTTAGTTCTATTGCTAACTTAATATATGTTAGTGTAAACTTATCATTTGGCATTTATATGCACTTATAAGTAGAAAAAATGGCATTCTGTTTTCCGGTGATGTTTGCTTTCCAGCGGTAGCCTGGAACCTAACCTGCCATATAAGTGGGGCCCTACTATATATGGTGAACTGTTACCTGGAGAGGGCTTCAGGGATCAACGCCCCCACAGTCCGGTCTGAGACCAGGCCTTGCCGGTTGACTTGTGATTATTTTTTTTTCTTATGAAAATATCACTGGGGTCCTCACACTACCCGTAGACCAGGGACCTACAAAATCTTAATTCGACTCTACTAACAACAATGAAAAATTCAGATTTTGACATACTTTGTCCTATAAATCTGACAAATTTACCCCACAGACTGTAATAATAATGGAGAAAGTACTAAACCTGCATGGTTCACTTAGCAAAGGAAAAGGAGATAATGAAAAACTCTTAGGAAAACTGAGCCATGTGGCACCACATGTGCCTTCATATAATGTTTCAGCTTTCCAAACTATAAGTAATCATGGGGAAGTGGAAAAGAATCTTTCCTCCGTAAGCCATGCGTGTCGTATGAGGCGACTAAAATGCCGGGAGCAATGGGCTAGTAACCCTTCTCCTGTATACAATTACTAAAAAAGAGAAGAAGAAAAACTTTATAAAACTGGGTTGCTTAAATGTGCGTGGATGTAGTGCGGATGACAAGAAACAGATGATTGCTGATGTTATGAATGAAAAGAAGTTGGATGTCCTGGCCCTAAGCGAAACAAAGCTGAAGGGGTAGGAGAGTTTCAGTGGGGGAAATAAATGGGATTAAATCTGGAGTATCTGAGAGAGTTAGAGCAAAGGAAGGGGTAGCAGTAATGTTAAATGATCAGTTATGGAAGAGAAAAGAGAATATGAATGTGTAAATCAAGAATTATGTGGATTAAAGTAAAGGTTGGATGCAGAAGTGGGTCATAATAAGCGTGTATGCACCTGGAGAGAAGAGGAATGCAGAGGAGAGAGAGAGATTTTGGGAGATGTTAAGTGAATGTATAGGAGCCTTTGAACCAAGTGAGAGAGTAATTGTGGTAGGGGACTTGAATGCTAAAGTAGGAGAAACTTTTAGAGAGGGTGTGGTAGGTAAGTTTGGGGTGCCAGGTGTAAATGATAATGGGAGCCCTTTGATTGAACTTTGTATAGAAAGGGGTTTAGTTATAGGTAATACATATTTTAAGAAAAAGAGGATAAATAAGTATACACGATATGATGTAGGGCGAAATGACAGTAGTTTGTTGGATTATGTATTGGTAGATAAAAGACTGTTGAGTAGACTTCAGGATGTACATGTTTATAGAGGGGCCACAGATATATCAGATCACTTTCTAGTTGTAGCTACACTGAGAGTAAAAGGTAGATGGGATACAAGGAGAATAGAAGCATCAGGAAGAGAGAGGTGAAGGTTTATAAACTAAAAGAGGAGGCAGTTAGGGTAAGATATAAACAGCTATTGGAGGATAGATGGGCTAATGAGAGCATAGGCAATGGGGTCGAAGAGGTATGGGGTAGGTTTAAAAAATGTAGTGTTAGAGTGTTCAGCAGAAGTTTGTGGTTACAGGAAAGTGGGTGCAGGAGGGAAGAGGAGCGATTGGTGGAATGATGATGTAAAGAGAGTAGTAAGGGAGAAAAAGTTAGCATATGAGAAGTTTTTACAAAGTAGAAGTGATGCAAGGAGGGAAGATATATGGAGAAAAAGAGAGAAGTTAAGAGAGTGGTGAAGCAATGTAAAAAGAGAGCAAATGAGAGAGTGGGTGAGATGTTATCAACAAATTTTGTTGAAAATAAGAAAAAGTTTTGGAGTGAGATTAACAAGTTAAGAAAGCCTAGAGAACAAATGGATTTGTCAGTTAAAAATAGGAGAGGAGAGTTATTAAATGGAGAGTTAGAGGTATTGGGAAGA